AAAACATTTTTCAGGACACAAAAACTCCTTTCCAGGTACTATTGACTACGGAATACGTATCAGATCGCCGAACTAAGAAAGAAATTCCAAATTCTGTGACAGAAAAGACCTTAGCAACCCACCTCAACTAAATCCAGCAGCAGCAGCGATAAAATTATTTCTGTGTCAGAAAAGTTTATATCACCATCTTGCAGTTGTCGAAAAACACACCAGCGATAAGGTGGACGACGTTCTTCGGAATTCTACAACAGAGAAAATCATACTTTTATTGAGAGTGCAAGGTTGAGTAAGATATTCATCGCTCATCACTAATAGAAGTGCAACTACAAAATAGAAAGAAAAAAACTTACCACTATCGCCAGTGAAAAGATCACTCTGACTAATGAAGCGAGGTGTATCTTGCTTCTCAGCAGTGTCATCCCACATTCTTACACTTTTACAAGCAATCTCGATAAACAAGCGGCTCGCAATCAACGGGTCCATACTCTGTAAGACGATAGTACAGATATTTGCAAGAATTGAATTCCGTGAAATGCAGTTCCTTGAAAGGAACAGGCAAAGATATACGCACATGAAGTTGTATTAGGACTCATCCCAAGCCTTAGGCCTAACAAACGAACCTGAGCTGCTCCTATTTTGGTAGGGTTCACTCATGGTAGTCTGATACCTGTCAAACACTGTAGAACCTCCAATCAATCACAGAACATTCTGACACGCGTTTCCCACTTTAAATGGACGATAAGACTTATAATAAAGTAAGAAAGAATATTTGATCTCATGGGCTTCGGCGAACAAAAACTCAGCGTATAGGCGACCCACCTTTAACAAAGCTATGACGCCGTCTATTTTTCTTGCAAGAAGTTCTTCTTGGTTGAGATGAAGAGCGGACAAATTAACTTTTCCGTAAACAGCTATAACCAATCGGAATTGTTTAGGCTAATTTATTCAATCCACCGTGTTGAAGTAATGAAAGTACCCACATTGACTTTCGCCTATCACTTGCACGCGGTTTTGCTCCTGCACAACTTGAAAAGATGGATATGATCCTGTGATGAACGCAAGGAGGAGGTCGGACTGAATATCAAGAAAATTAACGCCATACAATGTCCTCCGCACTCGAGAAAACATAATGAGTCCACCTCACCAAGTTCTCAACTTTTTCTAAAGCGAATTTTAAGATAGCGTGAATATCATTTTGAAGATTCCTTTGTCCATTGGCAGCTTCTGAAGACGTCATTGGCAACAAAGATAAGAAAACAGTTGCAACCTGAAGAAGTATCATCTAATCATTAGAGTATTGTAGTTGACACACGACAGCAAACCTGCAGATATCGAGGGCTTTCTTTCAGCAACTGATGGCTTGATTTGTCGTCACTCCATAGTGCCAACAAGCATAGAGAGGTTTCGTAATGCGGACCACGCATGGCTGGCGTTGCAGCCGAGAATCTACGAGAACGAAACATTATAGAAATTGCTTTGCTACTACGAAAAAATTCGAAATTGAAAAAAAAAAAAAACAACAAGGATCTGATATACCTCCCATGGTTTGAAAAGCACATCGTCAATGAAGATACTTGCCGCCAGTGCGCTTCTCTTCTTCATCTCAGTCACAAAAACGGAGAACAACTGCGACAACTTTTCTCGTGGGAACTTCCCACCCTGAAGCTCACTTTGTCTCTCGAATGACTTAACCAAACAAATAAATCAAAAAATGTCGCGGACAATCTCTCAAAAAAGAAAGTTCCAACACTTACATTTTATAAGTTGAAAAAACTGTGCGGTCATATTCTTATAATATGCCATCTTTTTGACATTACGTGGAGGCAAAGCGAGTTGTTTGCCAAGCACGGAAAGTAGAGGGGTGTTTTGCCAAATCTGTTCCCCATCTGGAAATGATAGGAATGATACGAATACCAAAATAAAAGTCCAAAATTGATCCAACTAACTTAATTCTTCATAAGACGACAAAGTAATATCTAAGCCATCCTTGCCGATAAGTACTGCAGATAAGCGTGATCCAATAGAGATCTAAACAAGGTTCTAAAATGTATTTAGCACAGGACTATGAGAGTGTAATGAAAGACAGGAAGTTCTGAAAACTGTTTGGAACGAACCGTGAACCATGATGGGGTCGGATCAGCAGCTGTCCTCGGTTTAACCAGCCCCAAGAGAGTACACACCCAGTAACTGAAGGTGGGAATAAAACTCACAGCTCCTCGATACACTCACTGAGTCGTTGTTCCCGCAAGAATTCACTAAATAAGTTTAGTCTAGCCACATAGCAGTGAAACGATGAAGCAAAATTATGAAAGTGACAAAACTAGCCATCCTTGATTCGTGCATCGCTCATACTAAAACTGTATCAACGACAAGCTGAAAATGTTTTGGATGTGCACATTGTAACTTTTCTATTAAATGCCAACTACTAGAAGAAGGTCTAGACATTAAAAGCCTGACTGGTTCAGATTCTATATAGATATAACAACAAATCTACGTTTGTGCGATAAGATGCATCAATTGATTCGTATTATTAATGAGGTCACCTGCTCGAAACACAAAACGATGTCAGAACAGTACTTTCGAAGAAGCTCCGCTCGAATCGTATCATTACAATTCGAGCTTCGCAAATACATTCCCCAACACGCATTAACTACAAATGAAGCCATATACAAGGAAACGATTAAAAAAAAGGAAAATTAAAAATAACCTGCATTTTTTTGAATTCTGAATCACCGACACATTTCTCCCACGATCTTATCAAGTGAGAGCGTAATTGCAGTGGTACTCCCACACCTGAATCAATGATGCTAAAAACAAGCAAATAAAAGCAAAACAATGATTCATGCAGAGGAAATGAGAAAAAGAGGACCATAAGCATGTATATTTTCTGTGGTTTGAACGAAAACAGCATAAAACATTCACGAACCTTTGTCGAGATAAGGAGAGATACACGTCAAAATCAAGAACTCTGGAACGAAGAAGACAACAATGAGACATGTTTCAGGGAAACAAGCCCAGCCTTCGAATCTTGCTGCTTCTTCAGATTAGTTAGTTCGTCCGCAACCTGAGAAACTATGATTTCCATATATGAAATGAATGTGAGAATGATAAGGAGAGAGTTATATTGACGGTATATCCGGCTAATTCGTCGAAATGGCATGTTCAACTGCACACCTCTCAATCACCTTTTGCATCACAGCCATTATCCTATGTCCGTATCGGATTCTTGCATCAAAAAACTGTGAGCTTGCTTCTTGTGCAGAAGATGTGGATGCCCTCGCGCTTATATCCTCCACAGCACAATAGCACGAAGGACCACATGAAGGCAAATTCTGAATGCAGTACTAAAAATTTGTTTGAAGAAACCTTTAACAATGACGCTCATTGATTCTGAGACTGCTCACATTTTCGGAGCTTTCCAGGTCCAGCAAAAGCGCAGCTATGGGATCCGATTTCGACGTATGCCAAACAGAATCTGAAAATATAGGATTTGGAGGCAGTGGATCAATAATCAATAGGTCTTATGACACTTAAAATATCATTCGGTCAAAACTATTTGTTAACCTAATGCTTCAATATCCCTGAATGATTATCGCCGAAAAGGTAAAATCGAAGTTCGAATTAAACAAACAAATCTCAGAGGTACAAGTTTCACAAGGTGAACTTTAACGGAACTACACAAATCAAATTATTTCTATTTTAGGTGTAGAACTTTGAGGTCTGGTGCGAGGGCTCGTGTCGCCTATAGTGATTCCAAATTTTGTAGGGGTAAAAAGCAGGTGTTAAAGCAAAAGCAATGTAGTTCACGCCATCCCACCCCCCCCCCCCCCCGTACAATCAAAAGGAAAACAAATACTTCTGCAAACGACAAGGCTTCAGCTACCGATATGTACATTTTTGTTTAAACACGCAAATGCAGAAGATTTCGCTTTGAATTAAGTGTTTGAATGAGATAATTGGTGAGAAAATTGATTACCTTTCTCGATAGATATGCATTTTTTAAGGCATTCAAAGGCGAATTCCAAGCCGGCCATGCGAAACAACGACTGCTAGCGATTCTGTGATAGAGACTTTATTAATACGACAGCAAATAGAACGGCTTCTACGATACGAGCTCGGAATGACGGAAGAAGCTGCTCGGGCAGAGTTAAGTCGAATCACAGGTGTTCGCGTACAATTACACAGCGTGCTCCAAGACGTCGACTGCGGTCGTCGCGTGGCAACTCGTCCGCGATCAAATCTGCCGCCCCGCGGCAAAGTTCACAATCGGTGCAGGTTCTTCGCATCCCATGGGCCTTGAAGCTGATTTCGCTTCATGTACGGCACTTGGTTCGGCTCCAAATCTCAAAGAGAATGTGAGAGCTCTATGACCTAAGCCTCGGGCGGTAGGGGGAGGGGACTCCGCGGTGGTGACACAGTGTGGCAGAGGTTGGAATGCGTGAGATCACAGTAAGTAATGAACTGGAAGTCCGGGGTGGATGTAAAAGCAAAGGCGAGATGATTTACGCACTCCGATTATTTCCTTCCTTGCAAAAGTTGGAATTTTCGCAAGCGCTAGCAATGCCGCATCACATGCCCCCCCCTAGCTGAATAATATATGTACTGGATCGATGAGACCCCTAACTATTTATGTTATTCCCACGAAGGAGGTGCTCGATCGAAAGTTGAACTTATACACTAGTGCTCATGGTCCTTACCTTAGGGAACGCTTTTGTTTTGGTCAAAACATTGAGCTCAGCTCGAAACCTCTGAGAAATGGTACTTCGCAAAAGCTTTTATTTTGAGATTGAGGATGCAACATCTCAACCACACTGCAGATCGGTCGTTCTAGAAAAGTACGCATCCTGATGGAAAGCATTAAAGCCGGCTAGGTTTAGTTAAAGCTTTTGGATGGCAGTCAACGACAGTTTCCCGCCAAGGGCCGATGTCAGACTTTGCGAATCGCGCGATTCGCTAGCGTCTGCGGTCGCGTCGCGGCCAGTGAATCACTCAATTGGCTGTACCGCGGAACGCTAGCGAATCGCGCGAATCGCTAGTAGCGAATCGCGGCGATTGGCAAGTCCTGACATAGGCCGAAATGCTGGGTTGTGAACAAAACTTTCGCCCCAGGCGGGACTAGAACCCGCACCTCTCGCTTTCCGGGCAAGTGCGCTACCAGTTACGCTACCGGGGCACCATTTCATTCCAACTCAGCTTTTCATGGTATACGTACCATAGCTTTCAGCACTCACACGTCTAACGTGTTGAGCCGGTTAGCCGATATCGGCAATGACCGCGAGGCTGAAAGCTTTAGCAATGAATTTTGACTTGTTGTTTGTTGATTTTGTTTTGAGATGGATAGTGTCCCCGTAGCGTAACTGGTAGCGCACTTGCCCGGAAAGCGAGAGGTGCGGGTTCTAGTCCCGCCTGGGGCGAAAGTTTTGTTCACAACCCAGCATTCTTGTGAAACATTCGCAAGGCGAACTGCGGCCAAAAACAGCAGTTAACAAACAAAAACAAGACAATTATTTCCTGCAAACTAGTGCGATTCAGAGGCGAAGCCTGAAAATCGTAACTCAACTGTTTTTCAAACCTTGAAACTATAAGGCCCATGGGATACGTAACCGACTCTCCAATGCATCGCTGCAATAAGTCACTGATTATTTTGGCTTGGTGAAAACTCCAGTTCGGGGGGGGGGGGGGGGGGCCACTCCATTGCTATCTTATCCGTAGTACTAGAGAGCAGTTCTTTGGGCTATCGAACACTACGGATAAGATAATAAGTGAACGACTCATTTCGAGCGTACTTTTGATAAGGACCGGTGGATGTCCTACATTCCACACTACCTGCCCACATCCCATCCACTTTTCTGCACAGGTGATCCACCCTGGAGCTCCTGCACCCTTAGCCCTTTGCGGAGGTGTCCTTTCTCCTGGTCCAGGACCGTTCCCTTGGGTCATGGCAGGCGGAAATGTGAAAACGTTTCAGGGTTTCTCACCCATTACACCAATATTTATCAGAAGTCTACTTTAAATGAGTCGATTACGTGTCGTGAGCCCTCTAATCCTTATCTTGAGTATTGGAGAAAAAATGGAGTGGCCCCCCCGAACTGGAGTTTCACCGTTGGCGTTATCAATGATGGTATTGCTTCTTGTTAGAACAAGGGAGACTCAAAGAAATGGTAGGATGGTACGAACTTTTGGACACCCTAATACTAAAGCAAAATGAGGAATTATAAAAAACCTGATGGTAGGGTCATTCAATGCTGAAATCTGCCTAACATTTCTAGTAGAGTAGAGGTCGATGTAGTTGTTGGGTGTGCTTTTGTTAACCAAAAATCGTTGTACTCATGTCGTTGAGTTCGATCTTTCGTCTCGCTTGCAGCCGTGCATAAATTATAGTTAGCAGTCACGAATCAATGAACTGAACCAGTCATTTCCAGAGAAAACTGCGTCTTGCAAATTTTACCCGTTATCCAGCCCTGTAATAATGCGTAGACGGTAATTATTACGAAGCTGAGGCAGCAGCAAGGACCCTCCTGGTCAGAAGAAAGCTGATCAGAAGCTTTGTCTTGTTTCCGTGGATGGATAATTTGCAACCAGAGCGGATATTCATAGCAAGACTAGACCGTATCATCTATTCGTCGATAGAGGGGTTCTATTTGACGTACCGGAAAGGGGATCATATCGGCTAGAATCGGTAGGGTATTTCCGGAAGGGAAGTGCTCAGTACTAGTGAGGGTTTGAGGACTTTCAACATTTTTGCTTCAAAATTCCGACTTCTTTTGTTTTCACTAAACGCGGCCCCTCCCACTCCCTTCCCTTCAACAGACCTGTTAAAGAGTCATGTTCTCAGATTGAGGTAAAATGGTTGAGAGATCCACAGGAACCCAGCAGGATTGGGTATAGGGCTGGCTGCCAAATTTTCTTGGCCGATGGCCCGTCCCCGTCCCCGTTCCTGGACACAACATTTCACAACTTGACGCTCATGGTTGGATTCAAAAAAAGCTGGAGGGCTGAAGACCTACAATATACTGCGTTACTGTGACTGTGTGACCGGGGGAGCCCATTTTCCCTGAGTCCAATTTATTAAACAGTCGGTCATCTTGCCAATTCACCTTTCACTAATTCACTTCCAACCTTCACTAACTTTCACCTAATGCCTTACCCTCACCAAAAGGTCCAGTAGGATTTTTCTGCCCAGAGAAAAGAAAGGATCGCTAGAGATCAACCACTTGCTGGTGACATAAGGGAGGGTAATCCTAGCTTCTTTTATACTTCACTAACTTTAACCCAGTGCCTTCCCTCGGTAAAAGGTCCAATAGGATTTATTTCGGCCAGAGAAAAGGATGGACCGTGAGAGATCAACCTCAGGCGTGCGGCACAAGGGAGGGTAGCCCTAGCTTCTGTTATTTACTCGGTTCAACAGTCGAGCAGCCATCAAGGGAAAGTCAAATCTGTTTCAATATTAATGAAATTTCCGGTGATTTACACCCAGAGGCACTCAGGCAAAATCCTGGTAACCAGGTCTTCCAACTTGCTCGAGTTGATGTTTGGTGCCGAATTTGATCAGGGGGTTAAAAATATCAAAAACTTCGAGAAACGCGGCGCGAGTAATTGGCTAGATAGAGTATGCGCCGAATATGTTACCAGTACGTCCCTGATTCTGTATAGAAGCAGAGTTCATGGTGCATGCTAAAGCCATGCCCAACCTAATATTTAAATGTTTTGTGAAAATGCAAGTAAATCATAGTAAAATGGCCTGTCCTTTGCAAAGCTCTTGGCAGTGCGTCTCCATGACGACGTTTTGGTGGCTATCGAGGCAAACACGGACCAGCCGACGTTCGGCGATCAGGATGGCCGTTCCTGGCGGTTCGACACCATTTCCATCAATACGTAAAGCAGGTTTGTAATGTTTTTCCTCTTGGAAATCGATGTCCTTCTATCTTTTTTTCCTATTGTTTATTCTACCGAGTTCACTTACCACACATGAGAAGTAATATAATAATAATCTGAATATAATTTATCCAGGGAAGAACCTTTTTGAAGACTTGAATGTAAAAAATGGGCAAAAGATGTAATTTGAAGACGTTTTTTTTTGAATTTCAAAGTTAGAGCGAAACGGGCCCGGTAGGGTATTCGTGCTTTTACAGTAAGCGAGAGGCGTGGGTTCGAGCCCCGCCCGTAGCGAAACTTTTGTTCACAACCCAAAATTCGTGTGAAATATTAAGTCATGGTTTTTATCTGCTTTACACTTATATGTAGTTTACTGCTGTCCAACGAATGAGTAGTAAGGAAGGCAAAAAATGTATTCATTGAGAGGTGTGATAAGGGTGGACTTCTTTGGTTAGCCTTCTGTGAAACAACCAAGTATGATAATACACTCAACAAAAGCATTTCTAAGAATTCCTTCAAATTTTCGACACGGTTTGTTCACTTATTTGGAGCTATAGGGAAGAAGCGAGTCTACGAGATCGCTATTAAGGATAGCTCGGGGGACCATGATCAGAACTGTGGATAACATGTCAGACCTGAATTCCTGCGAAATATTTATGGTGAATGGTAGTAGAATTTGGCGCTATCGGAGGACCGCTTGGATAAGTCAGGCAGCAGAAACTTCGGGAAAATAAAATGCCTCCTGGAATCTCTTCCTCGCCCAGAAGTCTATTCCGATTATTTATTAATTAATTTATTTATCTATTGCCACAAAGAGTCGCCACCGAAGCAATAGTCAACAGCAGAAGCAAGCACTCGAAAAGAATCCAATTCTCGAAGAAAAAAATCGAAAAACATCAAACAGATAAAAGATATGGGCCACGGTTCCAAAAGCGTTGCTGAGGCCTCCCCCACTATCTTGCGACAGCGCCGAAAATGTGAATAAAGTGATAGAAATATAGTAACCATCAATAATAATAACAATATAAAAAGGACAATCGGGTTTATTACGTTGCCATATCCTCTGTGGGAGCCTACGTATTCTGTTTCATGCACAATGCGTCGTTGAAAACGATCTGGCGTACGCAGGGACCATAATTAGGGGCCAGCGAACCACCTGCTAAGAGTTCCAAGGTTCTCTCAGCAAGTCCTTATACCACTAAAGAATCTTCTGGCAGGCCTGGTTGGCTTAACTATACGTATGTTGGAATTTGACTCCAAGGCATGCGGTGGGTGCACTCCGCCAAGGACGTCACTTCCGCCCTTAACAACTATTAAAATGATATACACATTGCTTATTTAGGTTATCTTATCAACAGTGCAGTAGCAAAAAGCCAAGAACTCAACAAAGAATCCAATACTTGAAGCAAGCACAGAGACGAAACATCGAACATGTTGTTTTATATTTTCTTTATATTTCTTTTGTCTATTATTTTTCCTTTACTTTCACCTTAGTGTCTGTTTCCATTTCAGAGTCATTATCGAGCCTTCCCCTTCAAGTAGCAGTACATTTGAACATATGTCTTGCACCATTCCTCTTCATTGCCGAAATTTGCTGCTTAATATTGAAGGTACGAATTACTTAGTGTTTAGGAAAAACAAATTGATTCTTTTATTACAGTACTCATACCCTCCTCCTCCCAACCTATAAGGTCATATTGATCGCCGTGCTCCTTGTCTACGTGCTCGTTGAAGGTTATTCGTCTTTTCCTGGCCGTCTTGGGAATTTGGGCGAAAAGGTTAGATTATAAAGGATAAAGGATAAAGCATTTGCCGTTGATCAATCCCTTTTGGGATGCGGCACGCATTCTACTTCCATTTGTACATTCGCAGTGGCGTTTGAATGCGATGTGGCCTATACAATGACTTGCGGGGGCCAATTACCGACTCGGAGGATGGAAGGCTTGGTTGGTCCGGGCGACTCACGACCCAAGACCAGGATTATCCTGGATCGCTCGCGTCGTAAAGCGCGCCACTCGTCACTACACTACTTCGCCCGTTAGGAATGTATTAGCCTGCCATATTAAATAGGGATGACAGCGTGAGAGAGCTGTGGATTGGTCTCGTCCAGAAGTTTAACAAATGTAAAAAGAGGAAAAATATGGGAAAAAAATATGCACATACCTATGGCGGAAGTGGTGTAGTGGCAAGTGGCACGCTTACTACGCGGGCGGTCCGGGGATCAAATCCTGGGTCTTCCAAGCCCCTGTATGCACGAACTTTCAGATCCCTGCCATCTCTGGTTTCTGGACGCTGTCGATGGTGTTTACCAGTAGCCGATGCGTGCCTGCTTTCTTCGCGCAATCCGCAAGTGGTGCCGTGTGCCTTTCGAAATTATTTCATGCCTCTAGTATTCATTGCTTTTCTGATCGTGGAAGTGCAGTTCATACCATATGAATGGAGCTGTATATTGCCTCAACGAGCGTGCTAAGGTAAGGTCATGAATGTGCGAATCCGAGCCTATTTTTAAAAGCGCTGAAGCTAAAGTGGTGTCGCTATTTCTCAAAAATGTATGTAGAACTATTTATAGACCGGTGGTGAAGAAACGGAGGAGAAGGGAAAGCCAGTGAAACTCGGGGAAACAAAGGTCCATTTTCTGTAGGTGGTTCTGAGAGAGAGAGACAGTGACGTAAGGGGGGAAATCTGATGAGGAGAGAACATTGATACGAGTGATGGTCAATTTGGCCCATGGAGTGGATTTGTGATCCCTGGGTGCTTCGAGAAATCCCGTGTAAACCCTGTCTCGAATCCGTGACGCGAAGCCGTATAATTGCTGAATTCTTCCCTTCTGAACCCTCTACGTTTCACGAACTGAGTCATAGGCTATATCTGCCGTCGCCCGTGTCCATGCTCTTTTGCCACGATTCTATTGTCTCTCCGCGGCGCGCGCGTATTCCTGGTTGGCTTTTTGTGTTCTTAGACCCCACAGGCCTAGAGAAAAGGGCGGCCGATTTTTCTAGCATTGTATGCTGGTTTTTTTTTCTTTACTGTCAGTCTATTTTGCACCTCCAGTTCCGTTTTCAAGCAGAATATCTATACCAGCTTGATCCTAGGGTTGCGATTTCAATATTTGCTTGTATAGAAATGATTCACCAGAGCCAATTGTGACCTCACGATTAGCTCTGATCTTGGAATCTATGGCTACTTGTAGTCGTATGGACTATAAGGTCGCCAGCTACTTTGCTGATGATATCGCTACCCGCAATCACTTTTGACCTTCATATCATCTTATTGGCCTTCTTTATTATCCAGCGACAAATCAGGTATGGCGAGAGCATCAATCAATGGAAAACATGCACCTCACGACGGGCATTTTTGGAAGGAACTTCATTTCGGAGACACAAGGGACCTTAAAGCAACAGTCCAGGAACGAATTTGCGGGCCAAAAGCACCTATATGGAAGTTGTAGGTGAAAAGTGGTCGAACGTAAAGAGAAAAAGTGAAGAAAACGCCCAACTGGGGCTTAGACAGGGACATGCCCTGCCGTTTAGGGAGACGTGTGTTGGACGAGTTGTCCGAACCTGCCCGTAGTACATGCGCTTTAATTGCAACTGCTGGCAAATAGCTGCATGCTTGCAAATACATAACTACTTGCCAGCAATCGAAATTGAAGCGCTTCAATTGCGTTCTTATGGAATCGACCTCATACAGCGCGGCGGTCCCGCAACGACCGCTAGTCAAGCGCGGACTCTGCACAGCGTATGTTGGGCGATCCGCCTCTTTATGGGTGATCCGCCCCCTCCAAGAGGACTTCGACCCCTTCCAGCGCATTTTAGAGGTAGGTTTTGAAATTAAAGACATTTCCTATAAACTTTAGTTGGGCTGGGGCATGTTTTGACCGCCTAATGACCAAGTAGTTGAAACCCTGCCTGGACTGTTGCTTTTAATTTGCGTAGC